CTCTGAAGTACAATAAAGAAGTACAGATTTTTCGAAACATTATAGGTAAAATTTGATTTTGCAAATTTTATTTTTTTATGAGAACCCCTGTAAGTTAAAATAAAGATATGTGTGCAATGTTTTAAAGTAAATATAAAATAAGTTTTTTTCATTACAAAAATTTTGTGATGACGTCATGAACACTATATCAATTTGGATAGGTGCAGTGTAATACTAAAAATAACAGTATTGTATTCCCATATTTTCGGGAAAATGGATTTTTTGGGTCACCCTGTACACGCATTCTAAAAAATATGAATGAATGATAAACCACAAGTATATCATATTTTGCACATTTTCGATAGAGTTTATTCGGCAAAATTTTGAGATGACGTCATCAGTTTTTTGGGGAGCCGTAAACGGATATATTTTTATTAACGATGTTTCCGATAATCTTAATAAAACGTTTGCAAGGTTTCACAGCATTCGGTTTTAGTATTTCAAGTTAAATTATAAAATGTTATTACATTTCTGTTTTTTTTTTTACAAAAATCTGGATGCCTTGGGTAAAAACTCAACACCGATTCATAAACTACAAGTGGAGGAGTAGTATTTTATAAAATTTAATTAACATTTACTATTGTAAAAATTAGGGATGATGTCATATCAGCGTTAGTGGAGATCGTTAGACAAATTTTAATTAGTGTTTTATCATCTATACGGTATTCTTAATATACATACAAAATTTGACAACAATCGGTCCAGTAGTTTAGAAGATTATCTGTTTAATAAAAATTGACACAGACGCGGACAGACGTCAGACGGCAACGAGAGACCTATGTTTTCGTATTCTAGGAGTCATGAAACGTCGAAAATACATAAAAGTAGCGTTTACAGTATTTCTTTAGTTTATTGTTGAAAAAAAAAAAATAATGGCTATACTTATTATATCTTTTTGGAAGATGAGGAGGGAATCATTTTATAAATTTGAAAATTGAAAATCCAGGTGGCTTATTAGCTTATTACAGCTTGTAATGACATATATATTTATCAAGATTTTCTACACGAAATGAATGCTTGTCAGGAATTAAAATATTTTTAAGCTTTAAAAATGGTCTCTGAACTTTGCAATTAGAGATTGTTAATACAGAAATAATCTAAGAAAATTATCAAACAAATAACAAACGGTGTAACGAAAATTTTGAAAGTTTAGTAACACTGGGTGTATATTAGGGTGATTCAAAAAAAAAAAATAATTTTTTTTTTCGTGTCAAAGAGGTTCAAAAGTTTCTTTTCAACGTAAAAAAATACCAGTTAAAAGTTGAGCTCTTAATATTAATATTAAGACCGTCCGCATCGCGTTTTTCTATTTCCCATAAGAATAACATGGGAAAATTTTTGTTTGCACCTTCTGATTTTTATTGCTAGCCCGTCGTGTGTCGTGAAAAAAATTCAATCACATATTTTTATAGAGAATTGAACGCTCTACAAAAAGTGTCTCCTATGATTTTGCGAGAAACCTGACTATGATTTTTTAACCCACTGATGCTGAAAATGTTCGGAAAGAGTTTTACTGGCCTTATTATAGCATAAAATTATAAACAATTACTGTTTAAAAAACTAAATTTAAAATGTGTATAAATTTTTGTGGTGATTTATTCCAATAAGACCATCAAATTTATTGTAATGCATCAAAAACGTCAAAATTTGGATAAATTTAACTTTAGCCTAAAATAACTCTTCAACTATCAGGTTTCTCGCACAATCATAGGAGACACTTTTTGTAGAGCGTTCAATTCTCTATAAAAATATGTGATTGAATTTTTTTCACGACACACGACGGGCTAGCAATAAAAATCAGAAGGTGCAAACAAAAATTTTCCCATGTTATTCTTATGGGAAATAGAAAAACGCGATGCGGACGGTCTTAATATTAATATTAAGAGCTCAAATTTTAACTGGTATTTTTTTACGTTGAAAAGAAACTTTTGAACCTCTTTGCACGAAAAAAAAAAATTATTTTTTTTTTTTTTTGAATCACCCTAGTGTATATACATATATAAATTGTAGGAGTAGTTCATTAAGTGGACTTTGGAATGTGATAAAATTTTGCCGCTTCATTTTAACTATATATAGATGCTAATTATATTATTCGAGACAATGTGTTAATACCTAAACCTCGCAAATGCTGAAATCTGTCGATTAAGATAACTTAAACTAGAGATTTAGGTTCAAAATGACAACATGTATACAGGGATTTATTAAAATAATCCTCATCAATTCGTTGGAATTACATCTTACAATAACAATAGGTTTCACTCTAGGTATAGAAAGATAATTTCTTGTGATGGCGTATTATATTGAGGTTTTTGAACATGAAACATGACAATATTCAGTTCTTGAATGAATTTCTAGTAAAGTTTCCTCCGTTTAAAGGCAACGACTCTTCTTTACAAAATCCGATTGAACACGTGTAAACCAGTTGGCTAAGACACGAACAGTAGAGAAGGGTAACTCTTCTGGAGGGCTTGGCCTGCCTGAAGAGATTCTTGAAAACATGAAAAAAACGGTGAATGGACATTCTAGTCAATCCTCACCAAAAAATTGTTAGAAAAAAGCTGAACACTTCATAAAATTACTACAATACAAGAGTTTCTTCCACATCATTAGTAGGCACGTGCACAGAACTACCGTTGGTCTCAAAACAATTTAAACAATGATTTTCTGGACTTGACATTCTTTAGCAATGGAGCTTGGTTCCACCTATCTCGATTTGTGAATTTACAAAACTTTCATTTATGGAGTACTGAAAATCTCATAATTTTGTGGTAATCCCTTTACTACCAGTTAATGTATGATGTATAGACGTACTTATAGAGCAATGAACTAACTGGTGGTTATTTTCAAGCTACAGCCCATATAATGCACATACACGTACAATATGAAATTATATACAACAATTTTGTGGTGACGGAATAATAAGCACAGAATGGATTATAATTAATGGATGAAATTATGAACTACCAAGTTAACACAAATCAAGAAGTGCTTAAGAATATTTTGGAAAACAAAAAGAGAAGAATTAGAATGTGACATTTTTAAATGTTAGTATTAATTATGTTTGCAAATATTATTATAGAAGTCCTATTTAAGAGTTGCTTTAAATTTTATTTTAATCAATTAGGTATAAAATGCGGCTGCGAGGTAAACACCTAGCAATTTCAATTTTTAATAAAAGGATTCATTGTTTTTAAAAAGCGGCAAACTTCTATCACCCGCCCACTGACAGCGCCACCTGTCCCCAAACACCGAAACCTGTACGGTGGTCTCGCGAGTCGTTCACGTCGTAATTCATGGTCCGACAATTAAACTGCAGTCAGCAACCCATCTCCATTGTATCGAAAGGTCAACAATCCGCCGATTACACCCAGATCGTATTAGTATCCGCTAAAAGATCATTAGTACAATTTATCTTAATGGTCTGTTGAACATGTCCATCGTGTTTATAAAACTGTTCGTGTAAACTCATAACAGCCACTTTATTCGAAATGTATGAAGTCCTCAAATTAATAGTCGGCTTTAAAGTTTAATGGTTGTTTAACGATTAAAATAAGTAATCTGTGTGGCTTCCGGGAAATCAGCGGAAGAAAAAAACCTTCATGCACTTGGAACGTCTTTGTTTTTTTATCTTATCGGCGTTCTCATCCTTTTCCTGGAAATATTGGAACCGCTTCCTTTTTTTGTTTTGCAGCGTAATTTGTCTTGGAATTAAGTCGGGCTTTAATGGCTGTAAATAATGGATTAATTTTAATTATTTAAATTAATTAGGGTAAAACTAGAGTGACAACCAATTAGATACAGATTAGGATTTTTATAATTACGGCTTGATAAATGCTAATGCTGCCAGTCGGTGCACTTATTAGCATGATTTGTAGAGTAGCGCATGGTCAAGAGTTACAAAATTGAAAGAGTCAATGAAAACGAGTTTTTGATGCTGGACAACAGTGCCGTAATTGGCATAAAGTGCATTGGAAAGGACGAATTATAGCTTCTCAATTTTATTGCTAAAGACGATTCTTTACCTCCAAGACAACGTAGTTTGATTTGTTGAGCAAAAAACTCATGGCTAAGTTGTGAACGAGTTTGTAATTTTATATTTAATAATAGAGTAGGTTAGATATTATCACAAACCAATTAACGAGTTTTAATAAATGTTATTATAAACAATTAATGGTGTAAACTGTTTGTTCTTTGTCGTTTTATTATAAAAATTTTGAATCACTTTGAGTTTTTTGCGGCGATATTTATATAATGATAATAATTTTGAACTACCCTCACCAGCTGAAATTTTCGAATGGATGATTGTTCTGGGTTCTTCAGAAATTTACAGTGATTTTTTTTTTGCTTTTTACCACTTTTTATCTTTGTCGTCTAAAATCCCTTCGGTTTTGACTTGTAGCGTATAAAACCCGTAAGCAATGCATTTTATATGAGAGAATTCGCGGCGGTGTTGCCAGTTAATTAAAAACCTACCGATTTCTGAAGAGGTTGGTACATGAATCTTACACAAATTATCACAAAGTTTTTGTTATTCCGCTTTTATTCGTGTTAAAATTAGAGTTTTAGATATTAAAATTTCATAGTAAATCGGATTATTTCTTGAATTTTCAATTTTTAAAATTGCGTTTTTTGGTTTTTTATCACACCATGTTTTAAAAACTATACAAAATTTTGTCTTAGTTTTTTAACTGTAATATAATCAAACAAACTGTTACTGCACTAGCGTTTTTAAATTTCTACCAAAAAAACCTCCCAGCTGCACACAACATACAAGAACATATTCAGTATTCACTGTAGAATTTTTAATCTTTCCCAGAACCCATCCTTACACCATCCGCGAACCCATTCCCCGAAATCCAGATGTCCCACATCAAAAAACCACTCCGCTACTCGACGAATAAAACAAACGACCATTATTATTAGCAATTGTTCCAGCTCACTAAACAAGGTCTTTTTTTCAGTTTTGGGAAGTAATTTCTGAAGAACACGGCATTGACCCCAGCGGAATCTATTTGGGAGAGAGCGACTTGCAACTAGAACGAATCAACGTCTACTACAACGAAGCCACAGGTAAGAACAATAAATTACGGCATGCATAATTCGCAACTGTGGATTTACGAGTCAAAATTTTATGCTCGAATCCTTGAATTCACCACACATCTGGCTGATGGCCGTTGTCACAGCCGTTCTTGCGCTCGTTTTGGGTAATGATTACCTTGTCGAGTGAAGAGCTTGCCTAATAGAATGGATTTTACTGGACGATTATTCAAATTTAACGATCCGCGAAATGCGGACCTGTAAATGGTGGCAGTTGGGATATGATGTGTCGCGAGATGATGAAAGTGCAGATATTCTAGAACAGCGGTGTTCACAGTGTGGGTCGCTACCCTCTGGGAGGTGGTGAGACGGTTTTGGAATTAAAAAAAAAAAATCCGCCAAGATAACGATTTCCATCTTTTGGAACGTACATAAAAACGAAGAAAGAAATCGCGTTACTTAGTGATAGATGGCGTATGTAACAAAGAGTTGCTGTTTTAATATGAACAAAATTCCAGCCAGAACGGAGGGGGGTCTCTTTTGAAAAAAGTTTGGGAACCACTGCTCTAGAATATCTTTTCTTGGTGTAGTGGTAGTTGAATGCGTAATGTGTTTATAAAACCACATATTTTTTATAGAGGCAGGTTCTACTCTATAATTATGTGTATTAAGAAATGAAAAAAAGTAATGATGATTTATTTCGCTGGATATTTATAACATTTAAATGACTTACAAAAAGACAGTTTTCTAAAGAAAAGAAAACTGTTTCTGACAGATATTTAGAAAAAAAGAAGAGATTTCCAACAATATAAACAAGCTGTTGCTTGTAAAAATTCTCCTTCGTTATTTAGTAGCTACAAATAAGCAGCACATTCGCTTACTCAATTTAAGTGCAAATAATTGTCGTCATGGCCCATCAAAGCGGAATTTAACCTATACCAAAAAACCCATCCAATTATCTTTAATGTTTTGGAAGTTATCCATCGCGTTTACTTTTAATTATGGACACTGTTATTTCCAGCTCAGATTTGCGTGCCCAACACTCGCTGAAAATTTGATCCATCGATCCAATTATCTCAGTTCCATGTTTTAATAAGCGCTTGTAATTTGCAAACTTTAAATTCAGTTCTTGTACGTAAGCACTTAATAAAGGCTAACGGTCGTGGTGAATTTACAGCGTTAATTATGAATTCCGCAGATACACGTCCAGTTTTAAGACAGGAAGTTGGGAATGTCCTGTCAAAGCCACCGCAGGTACTTAATTTAAGCGGTGAATCATTTTACTTAAGTAATGAGCTAATGAGTTAAATAATTGCACAGAGAAGAATTCCGTCGCCGTTTTCAATTAAAGTGCCAAATTTTCGCGCTTAATTTGCAGAAAAATTCGGTACGGGAGGTCAAAGAAATCGCGAAAGAGATTTTTTTTTCCAAGTAATATGGTAATATAATAAGTAAACAAACAAAAAGTTTGTTCGCGTGTTAATACATATCGCTGTTTATCCCTAGTGTTTAGAAAGAATTCGGGTCTTGTTTATTCCGTAGTTCAATATTTATAATATGACCATGAAACTTAAAAAAATAATTGCATCAAGGTTTGTATTTATAATAATTGTTTCATAGAATTTATAAAAAACGAACAAAGATTGAGGTCGAACAGTGAGAAATTACTCACTGTAAGAGTTTTAAGTATATTAACAATTGTGACTTAGCATGATTGCTTTTTTCTGTTGGATGTAAATGTGAAAATTCCAACATTCTTTAAACACTTTGTTTTCGTTTTTAATTTATATAGTTGTGGACAAGTAAAAATGAGATGATCGTACTTTAAATATTTTATATTGGCTCTCTTAAATCGTGGAAGATCATTTGTGACAAGTAATTCGAATTGGCAATGATACATATAGTCTGCTTTCAAATTCTTCTCTAGCTTTCTGCGGTGCTGTATTGTATATTTTTTCTCTTTCGTTGATAAACGTTCGTAAAAGTACAATATAACGTGAGGAACCATCATCTGTTTAAAAGTGAAGATTTTCCATAAATGTGGTAATTATTTAATTTTAAGCATTTAAACCGAGTAGGCGTTTACTTTTTACAAAATTAATGTTATCACTCAAATTGAAAAATAAATGTATCGACAACAATTACTCAATCCACAAATTTAATACATTCCATAAACCCACATACACATACACCACCGTCCAGAAAAGCTCATCACACCCATGGAGTCATAAACTTGCAGCATAGCAATAGCCATTCAATGTTATATTGATTAACAGTACCATTGAATTAAAATAACAGAACGAAATGACGATTTTTAGAAGAAAAAAATATGAGGTCTTTATAATATACTTCTATTTCAATAAATTTAATATATTCAGTATATGTATTTATAAAAGAAAAAGCCCATTACAATAGCAATAGCATTTAGAATATGTGGTTTGTTAAATAAATTTATAAATATTATAACAGCAAAGATGTCGCATAAAAATTCAAATTCTGGAGTTTATTTGTTAAATTGTAGAAACTGTTGCCTCGTATATAGATCAATCTGGAGAAAGTTTCAGAGACAGAATATAAAAAGCTAAATAACACAAACTTAACGTATCTCAACCATTTAAAACAGAAAAATGCGATTTAATGACAACTTAACAATTCTTCACATTGAACATGAAAGTCCATAATTAAATCCCCTTGAATGACCAGAAATTAAAAATAGACATAATAACTCGAATTGATTTTAAATGATCACACAGATGCTAGTAATACACTTTTGTTGATTTTAAAAATTGTAATACCGCAATCTGACTTAACCACAAACTCAGAGATAAAAACAGAGTTCTCTCTTAATTGTAAGTCGTTGTCCAATGATTCGGTAATAATTTTCTGTTTAATTTTTAACGTTAAAATCATCATCATCAGTGATAACTCAAATTTTAATAAACATTTTTACAACGCGTATTTAAAATAAAGTAAATAGATACATGTATGCAACCAATTATACACCCAATTGAACCATTCGTGAAAAAATCTACATAAAATAGTAGACAAAGTAGATTCGCAACAATATAGCCTACACTTGTCAACATATTGAAGGTCACTACATTTGAACCTTCAGTCGAAGTGACATTGTGGTGTTGACCCAAATTTTTATTACATTAAATTGTGGCTCAGCTTTTTGAATATAAAAGTATCTATTTTTTTTTCCCGTACGCCAGTGTGGAAAAAAAAACGGGAAACGCCAGAAAAAGTTCTGTCAGATTTTATTAATTTTTCTGTCAGTTATGCAAATAATAGATACTTGTGTCAAATAGACAAGAATCGACATAAATTGACAAATTGAATTTTCAATTAAGTCAAAATTCATTTCCTGTTTTTTTTTAAGTCAGCCGTACCATATCATTTAAGATTTTTAAGCTAAATTCTCTGCGGAGGAAATGAGTTGACAGTCATTAGCCACAGAAATATTTAGGGCGAATCGTTCTGAAACTGACACCCACTACATTTAACTTGCGCCGCTTAAAGTTAAATGATTTCTGCATTACTGCATTGTCATTTTTTCTTCAGAAATAATTTCATCAAGGTTATTGTGAGGGAAATAGGTATAATTGAGGAAACGTTACAAATTCGAGACTTCCGAAAGAAAAAAAGTTAAACATCTTGCTGAAAACAACTTACGATGTATTATTATTGTAATATACCCGTTACTGACCCGCAAATGATCGGCATTCAGGCAAGAGTTCTATCATTCATTACGGATATTAAGATCAAGTAATAATCTGCTTTTATTAGTATTAATGTTATTATTAAAAGTTTGGGCAATTAATTCCCATCGACTGACTCTATAACATGAATCTCCTTCGCATTCTCTCATTCTCGTGGTGGAAGTCTCATCGACAGAATAATTAAAATATTAATAATTTTCATAAAAAAAACTGTATTCTGAAGATCTTCTACGCATTACTACAAGGTTAGTCTCCAATGAGGCGATTGGGAAAGTAAATTTTAAAACATCAGCATACTGTATGTAATTTGTAGAAAATATAAAAATTTATAAACTATCAGCTTGCTTCAATGCACTTGAAGAGTAATCATTTATGAGGTGGTACCACAGTGATACCTAATAATTATAGGAGTAATATACATCTGGTGCAGAAGATTACACATTCATCAGGAATTATTGCAAGCATTATTTGACACAGCCTAACAGGACTTAAGACTATAAGTTATAATTATTTTCAAACATGCGAGTGCTCCATTTAAACCTTAAAAAAAAAATTACACGAGAAAATTCAATTTTGTTTTTTTTACAACTGTATGTACTTAGATCAAGTGGGCTTTGGAATGTGCTGAAATTTAGCCACTTCATTGTGACTGTGTATAATACTATTATAGGAAATAGTGTGCATGCCCAAAGTTGGCAAATGTTGAAATCTGTCAATTTTATACTGCAAATTTACCCGCTCTAGCTTTGTATTCTTCAGTTTCATTTTAAGTCGAAATTGTGAAATAAAAACATCTGTTTCAAAACGACAACATATACACACAAGCTTACTAAAGTATAATTAGTAACATATGTATTATATTTTATAAAATACAATTTATATTAGTAATCAAAACACCAGTTGCTTGCAACATATGTATATGCGAAAATGCTCCATAAAAATACGGTGATCCAAATAGTTTGTGGCAATCCTTTGAAACCAAGTGATTAATCTGCAGCGGATTTAGAATCGATTGATTTTGTATTCTTTCTACGTTCATCAAATTTCGTGATTTATTTCCTTCTTCACAATCCATTGTCTGTCATGATTTGTCGTTAGCTGCCATTGTTATTGTAATAGTGAATTAAATTCTGCTTTTGAATAATTTATTTTGACGTCATATCAATTCTTATCATCACTTTATTTGATTGAAAACAAAAGAATAATTTGTTACGTCAATGTCTGATTCACTCCTCCTCCTGTTAGATACTTAATTTAGTCCAGCATTAAAAAACAGACAAACATGCATTTTAGCTTGACGATTTTTTTTGAGGTTTAGTAGGAGCGTCAACCCTGAGTGTAAAACTAAGTTGACGAGACTGGAGGTGTTTCATTTTAAAGTATTTCTTCATAATTGATTATTATTTACTTTGTTTTATGATTTGTCAGCGTTGCTAAGGGATATAAGCTTCATAAATTGTGTGCTTTAGAATTTTTTTTGCTCTTACGTATTTAAGTAGTTAACTACATTATCCATCTTACTTCTCGTCTCATTTCCATTCCCATAAATCTTCCGTTTTCCTTATTTAATTGAATTTTAATTAATTTAATGTTTTATTTTTTTTTGGCTCTCTTGTCAGCCTCCTAAACCAGTTTATAACATAAATGTGCAATCCAATAATAAATCCGTCTTCTTTTTGTAGGAGTGGAAATACAAGATTTACTTATCTTGCTTTAAAGTTGTTCATCATTTTATTATTGACGCTATAAAACTGTTAATAAAAGTTGTAGAATCAACATAATTGCAGCCTTATTTTCAAGATGACGGCCATACGTCACTACCTCTAGTGCGGAAAATTCAGTTTTACACTGTGTTTACACTCACAGCGTCACAGTCGATAGAACTTGTACTACTTTGTCTTTTTGCATTAATGGTGTGCGTGTGCATATAGAATTATTTTTTTTTTCAAAATTTGTCCATGTCACTTTAAAGTCGTCCTTTTTTTTCCAGTAGCTTCCCGCAGCAATGGTGGCAAGTACGTCCCCCGCGCCATCCTCCTCGACTTGGAGCCCGGCACCATGGACGCCGTCCGCTCCGGCATCTACGGCCGCCTCTTCCGCCCCGACAACTTCGTCTTCGGCCAGTCCGGCGCCGGCAACAACTGGGCCAAGGGCCACTACACGGAAGGTGCCGAGCTCGTGGACGCCGTCTTGGACGTGGTACGCAAAGAAGCAGAAAACTGCGACTGCCTCCAAGGCTTCCAGCTGACGCACTCCCTCGGGGGCGGCACCGGCTCGGGCATGGGCACCCTGCTCATCTCCAAGATTCGCGAAGAGTACCCAGACAGAATCATGAATACGTACTCAGTCATGCCTAGCCCCAAGGTGTCGGACACTGTCGTGGAGCCCTACAACGCCACACTCTCAGTGCACCAGTTGGTGGAAAACACGGACGAGACGTACTGCATCGACAACGAAGCGCTCTACGACATTTGCTTCAGGACGCTGAAGGTGCCTAATCCGAGCTACGGGGACTTGAACCACCTAGTCTCGCTGACGATGTCGGGAGTCACGACGTGTTTAAGGTTTCCGGGACAGCTTAACGCCGACCTGAGGAAGCTCGCCGTGAACATGGTACCGTTCCCCAGGTTGCACTTCTTCATGCCCGGATTCGCACCGCTGACGTCACGTGGTAGCCAGCAGTACAGGGCTTTGACGGTTCCCGAGCTCACACAACAGATGTTTGATGCCAAGAATATGATGGCTGCGTGCGATCCCAGGCACGGAAGGTAAAAATTGCACAATTTTGACTTAACAGACAGCTCGTTCTGCTCATCCCAATATTTAAACGTAAATTCGAAAAATGTTAATTTTTATTTCTACGTGGTTGTATATGCTCATGAATTTTCAATAATTTTTAACAGTTAATAATCTATTAATTTTTAGTGAATTTTAAACACTACATCGTAGTGTTAATAATACGAGTTTTTTCAAATTTTAATAAACTTCATTAATAGAATATCACAGTATTCTGGCATTATTAATAATTACTTGATTGATTTCGCATTTTTGTGATAAAATGTTTATGATCTTCAAGCAGATAACGTTATTAAAGCACTTGCTATTCGAAATAATTACCTAATAAGCTTGAGCTAAACTAAAATAAACCACCATTGAAGGTAATTTTACAGTATATTTGGATTCTCCATGATTTTAATATACAACCCTTGTGTTTCGCATGGAATAATAAATGATCGAATTGATAACCCCTCTCTACTGTCTAGACTGTCCTTTAGAACCCCAACCACCAACAACCGTATAAATCGAAGCAGGAACATTTTCGTTTCATCGAAGAATCTAGGTCGAAATCATCCTTTACATAAAATAATTTTAGCTGCAGATAATTATCCAAACAATAGCAACATATATACAACAATATATAACCAAATTTCGTAGTTTTATAGTAGAGTAAAAACTTTTCTTTCTTTTGTTTTAAGTTATTAGGGAATATTGTTTAATAATAATAAAATTGATTATTCGGTTATAACTGGAGATACCGTTACTATTACGTTGAAATTAAAAAAATCCTTGTTTTCTGCAGGTATCTGACCGTAGCAGCCGTCTTCCGCGGACGAATGTCCATGAAAGAAGTAGACGAGCAGATGCTAGCGGTCCAAAACAAAAATAGCAGTTATTTCGTGGAGTGGATCCCCAACAATGTCAAGACAGCCGTGTGTGACATTCCACCAGTGGGTTTGAAGATGTCCTCCACCTTTATCGGCAACACCACGGCCATCCAAGAGCTCTTCAAGAGGATCTCCGAGCAGTTCGCTGCCATGTTCAGGCGCAAAGCCTTCTTGCACTGGTACACCGGTGAGGGCATGGACGAAATGGAATTCACCGAGGCCGAATCTAACATGAACGACTTGGTGTCCGAGTATCAGCAGTACCAAGAGGCCACGGCCGATGAGGAATATGAGGCGGAGGAAGAGGCGGCCGCTGATGACTTCAACTGTTAATCAGTATTGCGAGAATTGGAACATCATTCAAGATTTACGTGTGTTTTGACTAGTCGTTTTGTTATTTGGGAGACTCATTTTGGTAACTTATACACAATGGCACGGCTTTTATGACGCAGTGAGCACGGTTTTTATTATTAGTATTGTTGTTACCAAGGTGGGTTAACCACGTTGGAGGCGTCAGTACTAATTTTTAGTTCTTCATACATGATGTTTGGGTATGTTTTGGTAAGATTCTTAGTTTTGATTGATGTTTTAATTTTTTTTTTTTTGAAATTCTACGATGTAAGCTTTTATACTTTTATAATTCGCAGTTGATATTTATTAAAAACGAAGTATGTAGAATTAAGACTGAATTTTCTACGCAAGTCTACTCGTCACATCGACTTAATGTAATAAATTTTTTGAAATTAAAAATGGGCTTTTGTTGTAATTTTCCACCTTTCACAAGATTTAAACTATTTTCAAATTAAGAAAACTATTTGTGACGACAGTTACCATACTTGTAAAAATAAAGGACACAGGTGCGATTACAATAGTCCCTTGAGAAAATGCAGGGACTAAAGTGACACTTTTCATCAAATGAGCTACAGGAAAGTGTAAATTGTTCCCAAATAATAATCCGTTGATCATTAAAAATGTCTTAAAAAAATTATTTGCTTCTGCTTTAGTTTTTAAAGATGGTGAAGCGTCAATTCACATTCACATGGAAAAACTCCTAGGTCAAGAAATGAACAATATACAAAAACCTTTAATAAGCACACATTTGCACATCTGTCAGAAATTTAAAAACGTATTGCTCACATAAAAAAAAATAAAAGTACGATCCGCCAACTCTGCACTTGATTTCATCAAGCTAGGTTAAATTTAGTTTTCGTGTAGCTACTAAAGGTAGATTCCAAATTTAGTGTTTTCTACTGTTTTAGTACACAGGATTTTTCTTTTTAAGGTATGAAAATCACTTTTGGGATTTTTACGCTATGTTAAAACTATTCGTCTTTTTAATGCGACCGACCGATGTAGAGTCGACACCACGATACCTAAAAGTTCAAGGTGATTGTAAAAGATCGTACACATGATGGCTTTTCGTGAATTGTGCCGCCTCGTTGTGCATGGAAGTAGAATTAATTCAATGCTCAAATTGCCCCAAATGTAAATTATAACCTAACTTTCATGAGTTTTTTCGGTACGTTTCTGCTTGGTAGGATAGGTACACAACAAAAAATTCAACTTGTATGACATTCAATAATTGATTTTCCAAAACGAATGTGTATCCTTTTCGCCACATAATCAGGTACCTCTTATGTCACAAATAAATGAATTGTAAAATAAGAAAAATTCATCATACACTGGTACTTTAAAATTTGCTTTTTGAATTATGTCAGTATTGCAACTCATAAGCAACATAAATGTTAATCATACTTATTGGTGAGCCAAAGAGAAACAATTTTTCAACAAAAGGTCATCTCGTGTGGCCAATAAAATTGACAATATAAGATCAATTAAAATTAAAGTTTAACCACAAGAAGCTAAATGTTCAACGATTTTTTTTTTTAGTTTTTTTTATGGCGAAATACAACCACGGCATGTATGTATCTTAATTTTTCGTATTTCTAGATTCTCCATGTTTGTAAAATTCTAACCGTTATCCAAATAATATTCATTACATCAAATACCTGACATGTACACCGCAATAAGTATATACATTTTAATTTCATTTTAATTTTAATAACACATCAAACTTTATACTGTTATGCTTTACCTTATATTCAGATCAACAGAATAGTTATGCTTTCTTTGACGCAACATAAAATCAGGCGCATGGAAAAATTAAATAGTAAATTTTGATTTTCCGACACTTTTTTATTATTTAACGTATAATAATTGACAACATTTCATCGTCCAATCTATTGCTTGAGTTAAATGATTGCAGGCTCCATTACAGATCAAAATAATTTCTATTTATATACAATTTGAATATGAAAATATAAATAATTATTTAACTACTAAAATCAGAATGAACATTTGGTACACGGCCGTCAATTCAAACACGTAACAATCCCTGCAACGTGTCGAAAATTTCAACTACAGACGCTGTCATTTTTTTAAATTAATTAATGAAAATGATCCGACAGCGTAACTGCTGAAACGAGTCGACAGATTTTGATCAAATTATTAGAGTTGCAGGGATAATATGTTTAGATTGTTGTATTGTTAATTATCTTAAAGCAAAGAACATCACGTATGTCATCTACTATTTAAAAATAAGTAACAACATAAACTTTACTTGGACTTTTTTCTTAGCTTCTTCTTTCTTTTGCTGCACAACAACCACAACAGCATCAACTCATCCTCATCAGAAGAAGATGAATCCAAGAGATTTAAACAGGTTTGTAAAATGCACGCCTTCTTTAAACCAGACAGGTTTAGAGCAGATTCCCGGATACTACAAATACATACACATATTAATAGCCATGACTCTTATTGGTGTTATACTTTGTGTCTCAGATTTTTTAACTAATAACCCGCTTATTACTGGTCGAGATATATCTTGCAAGAATAAAGCAGGGAAAAAATCGCCATTAATTTCTCTACTATTTTGTCAATGAATATAATAATGAGTTCAAATACATATAATCAGTTATTAAATAACCTTCACATATCAAGACCCATACTAATAAGCGAGAGATTTCTCATCAAGACTCAGATACTGCTACAAAATACAAACCAACCCTTCATCATCCTCACTATCACTAGTGTTTCTAGACTTTAAATCAGCCTTCTGCGACGTCAGTCTTAATCTCCTGTCTTTCTCAGATTCGTTACAATTGATCTTTGTTTGTTCCAACGGATTAACACTTGGTGTGTCGCATGCTTCATCACTATTTAGAAAGTCGTCATACTCCATTTTAATATTAATCTCCGTTAAATGTAGCTCAGGCTTCTCGCACTCTGATTTGATTTTTTTGTGATTCACGTAACTATGTTCTTCCAAAAAATCCATTTTGTATGAAAAACCTATAAAAAAAGGGGTTATGTGCATTGTTAAGATTTATATATAAACATATTACCAGCAATAATGGATAAACTCAGAGAAAAACAAAAATTAAACAAAAACTATTCGTAAGTAAAACGGGCTGATATGTACGGGATTATTTTACTTTTACTAAAATAAAAACCATAAAAACCCTACCCAAGTGCATAACCCAGCATAACCCGCCACTTTAACTTCAACCTTCAACTGAAAGTCGCACCAACCACATAAATCGAAAAGTAAAAGCCACTAAAGCATTCGATGCGTTGTGTGGTTATGCAACCTGTTATACCAAAATTATTTAGAAACAAAAGCTGCAAAATTCAAAACGTCGTTTGTGTCAAAACAGTTATGGAAATTTCACACGAATGTTGTGAAAACTGTAGCAAAACTTGTAAATGCAATAAATGCACCATGAAAACAACAGCATACATAATATGCATTGTGTTATTAGTAAGTAGTCGATTTAAAAAAAATGTATTTAAGTTAATTTAACTTTTAAATTTTACAGATTGATTTAGTTGTTTTGGAAATTCTATTTATCGTTTTTCCAAAGATTTTGAGTAAACTATATTATTATCAAAATTCTACAGTAACTTTTTATGTTGTTATTACATCTGTATTACATATGATTATAACAACGGTTGTGCTTTTGTACGGTTTACTAAAGGTAACTTATTTTTGTATTTTGTTTTCATATCTACAAAAATTGCGCTATTACAGACTGTGAGTTGGTGTATATTACTGTGGGTTATAACGCTGACGATTTACTGGGTTATTAATTTGGGTGCTAGTGTTATTTCTGTTATGAATTATATTATAGAAGGTCTTGAAGAAGAACTTGAGCAAACTTCGAACAGAACGTCTTTAATTCTGGTGGTTCAAGGTATCGATCGTATCATATTTTTTTAGTTAGACATAACTATAGTGGCTATACATGATCGTTTTCCGGGTTGACACCGTGTTAATTGAGTTTTTTGGCTCAACGTTTCGCACACTTTCGTAAGTGGCATCTTCAGGAGCAGGGTTAAGAATAAGGCAAAAGAGCACGGTAACTCAGTATGTCATCCATACCAGAGGCGAAAAGAGTTGCCACTTACAAAAGTGTGCGAAACGTTGAGCCCAAAAATTGAATTAACCCGGTGCCAACCCGGAAAAAGATCATGTATTGATTCCGATCGTAGAAGCCTCCGAAATTATAACTATAGTATGTTCAAGAGTTCAAGTGAAAGAATCAGCAATAAAGACGCGTGATCAGCGTGTGTTCAACTGCCTATTGGTCGACAAATTTGGGGAAGGGTTTTTCCCAAGCGAGTTTTACAGTACACTGTACCAATATTTCGTTGCTGGTGCGTTTCATTGTTTACTCATCCCTTGCGTTTTGTCGTCTACTTACTTTCGTCGTTTGTGTTGTGTTAACCCAAACTTCCCGCCTATAAAACATTCAAAATTTGGCCTTAGCTGTGATCGTCTAACAAAATGGAAACCTACGTTGTGTTTTTTTTTTTTTTTTTGAAAAGTGCCGGGAAGACGTTCTTTCATACAAGTGAGCATATACTGTGTGTGACTCGAGAGCGCAAGAAATAATAGACACAAATTTTTGGGAGGGGGCAAAAAAAATTGCACCCCCTCTCTAAGAGGAAAGAAGCTGCGAGCGAAGGCGAGACGGACTTGCCATCTCGCATTCACTCCTCAGCCCCAAAACCCCTTATAGTATATTCACGGACATATTACATTTCAAATGAAACACCTTAAAAATATGAAAGATGATGTATATTTTAGCGTTGTGAGGAGTAAGCCTCGTTGATGTAGTCAATCTTTAGCGTTCTGAGGACATGCCTCGATGATGTAATCAATATAACGATGATAATAACCATGATAACCGCCTAAAGAAAGAAATTATTTTAACCCCCCGCCAGTTCGCAATATGAATTTTGTTAATTTAACTACCGTAAACGAACTATTAGCAATCTTGTGTAATCTTGTGTGAAGAATTAAGAAGTGTTATAATGTAACACTTACGTACATGCATCCAGAAACCTATTCGTAATTAAACAACAAAGGTGTTTTCCTGACAAATGAATTTCATGAAATCTTCTAGCAAGTGGTTTATTTAAATAATCCTGATTGTTAAATTGTGTTAGTACTAGCTGACGATTAAGAAAAACTAACTTGATTGGTGAATTTACAAACAATAAAACAAATTTACAGCACGTGTTCCGCGTTGAAAGATCGTATGTTTTTTGATTAAAAGGAGCAAGAATTAGCCGCGCGGGTTCGGAAAAACTGTGTACCCATAGAAGTTACGATTGATTGTCGTTAAACAAAAGCTTGCTCCCTGTTATTAACTACCAAACCAACTAATTTAAACTAGCTCTTACCACGTGTTTAAATTCACAAAAACACATTCTGATTGACGCTCCGCCATGCCGCCCTGTGTCTAAGCACCAACCCTCTAACTAAAATCCCTAGAGCTACTAATTGTCCAACTATCCAGCAAGCGTTACCGTGCACCTGGTTGCCTATGTTTAACGATTTTTTTGATGAATTTTTTTTTTTTTTCTCAAATTCAAATTATTCAAATGTGATTCCGCGCCGCTGTTAATTAATTTCAGCGCGAAAATTTTGTTTTAAATTCGGTCACCGCAGTGTTTTTGCTTGTGTTTATATTTGTTACCGCCATCATGTCGGATGGTAGAAATATTATTTTGTCAAAATCATAACTTGAAATTTCTTTACAGTGAAACACGGGCTAGACGCAATAATCTTACGCGCGCTCGGCTCCAGGATGTATCATGCAGCTTTCACGTGATCACTGATTCTTTCATTTGAGCAGACTATAAATTGAGTAATTTCACGTCAACCCTATTCATTCCAATTTGTGTATACTTATTTGCAGTTTGATGAGTGCATCTACTAATGAATAATAATGATTCATCGTACAGATTTTTTTCCATTCTTTAAAATTTCGATATTTACGTGTGCTAAGCATTTTTTGCACTAAACCATGGAGGTAGAATAACATATTACCTAATGCCTCCAAGCACTAAACACAGTTACAGTGGTGGCTAAAATAAAACAGGACACTTTTCTTTCCCAAGTGTAACTTCAAATTTTTATTGACGTTTAAATGTCATTTTCAATTAATACATATAGTCTTTGCCATTTCTATTGAAATACCACTTGTTGATCGTAAATTTGGCAACGTTCATATTCAGACAATTTTCTAACTAAAAGCCGTTGTCAATTAACAGTTAGCAATTACTAAATTTTAGGCAAAATCAACAGGTGGTGTTTCAATAGAAATGGCGAAGACTATATTCAACTGAGTCCAGTTTAAACAACTAAATTTCTTGGAAAAATCCTTTGAAGGGGTGTCCTACTTTATTTTAGCCGCACGTAATACTAAGCACTGTTTTGCGGCATTAATCAAAAATGATGTTGCAGCGACTTGGCTTTTTGCGGTGACGTTCATATGGTACTACTGGAAAACTATTCACGAATGTAACAATGTTGCCAATTTGGTGCAATACGTTGCAGAGAACTATCATTGGTATCGAGACAGACAATCAAGTAATGACAACAACCGAGAAAATTAGTTGCTTCTTGCCTTCAGTATGACTACCCACTAGAAGATGGCGCTTTCAGTAATACATATTAAAAGTTGTTTTGTTTATTTACAAAAATAAATATGTAAAATAATAAATAGGAACACCGTGTGGATCACACTATTCAGTAACAAAATCAACGAGGAATGAATATATCTTCATAAAATATAACAAAACAACAACAATACAATAAATGTTCTGGAGCTGATTTTTTCGTGACATCACTCGAAGAAATCATCGTTACTCATCCAATTATATCATGATTTTTTTTCTTATCCAAAATTTCTCTTAACCAAAATAGTCTCGCTGTTAATTGACCGTGGCGGCTTTAATTTGGAAAACTGATGCGGATGATTTAATTGCTTTTCAGTTCGCTTTCTCTGCTTCTAACGATAGTTGTAGGGAACAACTCGTGGAAATACGTTTTAAAAACGACTACCAAGCACACAAATCCGCTTAATAAATACCTTTCGATTTTACCGTTTTTCCTAGAACACTTTTACCGGTGACGTAGCAAGTGTCAGCTTCCGATGACTCTTCAAGAAATCCGAAACGTCATATCTCTTTGTTTTTCACTCTCTTTTGTGTTTTTTGTGTAAAATCCACGTGGAAATCTAGACACTCTTATCGCTTTTAAGTAAATATTGTTAACCTGTCGCCATTCCTTAGATAATTTTGATACCAATAGTTATCAACATATAAATAAAGGTGTGTACAAATCTAAAGCTATTTATGGATTATTATTTTCCAATTAAAAATCAGAAGAAAAGTGCACACCTTTTTTCTCAATAATTATCGTCAGTCATATTGTTTACGAAAGTGTCATCCTTGTCACTACATGTCGCATGTCACATATACCAAAGCGGAAATGTAAGACACGAATTCCAGGAAAATGTTCCTTATCGTCTTAAAAATTTAAGAAACTAGTGAAGATACAATATTTTTAATCTGGAGAATCTACAAACTATCACGATAGCAATTTTAGCGCAGAACTGGAGTGCATTGTAAATATATGCCTATGTTACAAAAGTAAACATATGTAACATTTTAAAATTGTTAACAAAGTGTTAGAAAATTATTTATTATTATTTTTTTTTGTTATTTTTGTGTATTTAACAATCTGATACTGTTGTTCTTAGAATTGTGAATTAGAGTGTTTAATTTTTTTTTTCGTTATTTTTTGACTGAATAGTTTGTAGAGAAACGACTTTAGAATATTTATGTTAAATTGGATATACATAATAACTGCAAACGTTGTTGACATTTTAGCTTTTATTTCAGGAACTGATCGCACGATGGCGACATGTGTATTCCTACTTTTCAAATTATTTATAAAAACATTATTTAGCAATAATAATAATATAATATGCGACAAGTGGTTGAAATTTTATCAACCACGAGTCCGCTATACTATTTTTTCTACGAATTTTAAAAATAAACGTAAACAATTTAAGTTGGACGGCCCCGATAAGGTGACATTTCTCCTGTCAACAAATTGTTAAAAATGTCAAATTGTTTCAAATCGCGGTAGTCCGATTACTTCAACCTTTAGTGAACTGGAGGCAATGTCAAAATAACGCATTTCAATCTCATGAGTAGAAAAAATTATTTCATTAATAAGGAAACACTATTTTGTACATGAAACTTTGAGTAAAACATGTTTATTATGTTCGAATAAAGATAAAAGTAATACTTGTTAAGCTTTTAAAATTGGAATTTAGACTTTTGATTTTTATAATTTTCGTAAGATAAAACCGAATGTTTATATCAGTATAATTCAATACTATTTTTATTATTTTACTAAATAAAATATAAGCTTAGGTTGTTCATTATATAGCTTTATGTGAGAATGTATTGTTTTTTAAAATATACATATATTTGATTAAATTCATAATATTTAGAGCTCATTAGTGAGGTTTAAGATAAAGCATGGAGATCAATTAAATAGGACAAAGTAAATGTATATACGATTTTTTCTATAAAAGTTGGATTACTTCTGATATGTATAATATAACCGAGACGTTGTGGTGTTCTAAAATTTAAGTCTCTATAGGAAATTTATAAACTCTTTCATTATTGCTACGAAATAAATGGCGATCCCTTTGTGTACCTTAATTGAAAACACAATTATTCTTTTCTTTATTCATAGCATAAATTTATTCACATAGGTTGATTTTCAAATTGACGTTGCCTCACCGCAAATAAAATTCAACTTGAAAATGGGTCGTTAGTTGAAAATCAAGACAACATTTTTTAATCGATAAAAAAAGATATAGGCGGCAGTGATTCGAAAGGAAATATACACTTATCGATTACACTAAAATGACGTAGAATTTTAGACACGAGTCAAAGTAAGATGTTTAAAAAATTACATGTGATATACTTTAAATTGCATAAAGTCAGTAAACAAATTTTAGATATATGCAATAAACGGTTTTCGAGATATTTGATCGGTTCCACACTTGTTCATTACCCTGTACACTTTTGTCTTTGGATAACCTATAAGTGTATATGCTAAAATAAAACTGAAATATGGATTATAAATTTATCTAAGTAAATTCAGACACTAAAAATATTTCAAAACAAAAGCAAACTGGACCCCAGGACACAATTTTGATAAATTAATAAATACAATCTCGTTAATGCTCTGTAATAAAAAAGATCCTTTAGATAGTTTTTTTTTTAATAAATCGTAAATTTTGGTTCTTCCAACTTTATTTATTTATTTTTTTAAGTTACCTGTATACATCAAAATAAAATTATAAAGATTTTTTTTCGACAAGTTAATTAATATAATAACATTTGTTAATTAATTAAGTTAATAAAAAAGTTGTTTTATTCATTAGTTTTTTAACTGTCATATGTAAGTAATTGAAAAAAAAAAAATAAAAAAAACACTGGATCTCAGCACATCATTTTAATAAATATTTAATTAATTTTTTTGAGATGGCCTCAATTTCAGGAGGAATAAGTGGGTAATAATATTTTAGTCAATACGGCAAAAATTTCAAAAAAGGTTGGTGTGTCGACAAAACTGTATTATCTGTTTAATAACATCGCTAACAGACAAACGACCGGTAGGCAAACGGAAACGGGGCATCCTTTTATAATGTTTTATTGGTTTTTGCTACAAAAACAAAGAATTTAAAAGATCATGTTTGAGAAGGGAGTACACAACTATGAGTAAATAGGAAAAAGCAGTGAAAGGAGTCGATAAACAGTAACTTAGAAAATGAAAATACAACATAAACATATTTTTAATAGGCACTGAAAGTAAACTATAATGAATACAAGTTATTGTGAGAGTGACGAGGTTTGGGAACATAAAGATCAAGGATACTATATTAAGCTTGTTTTATTTAGTAAAGATAGCAAGCACTAACATCACTAACATTATTCAAAAAACATTAATTTATTTGTAAGATGTTCAAATAAATTTACTTCGCAAAAATTTGACTGTGTTTCCGAAGATTTACATTCTCTTATAACTTTTAATTTTGGTTCACGATAAAGCAAGGTAATTTAAGGATGATGAATATCTTCCGGCAACAAAACACATCAAGAAAACATTGGGAATTGGAAAAGGATCTGCTATTGTTGTCCGCACTGTTACATTGTTTAAGATAAAATGTAGAAAGGTTTCCAAAGCAGACAATTTATTGTTATCGATATCAAAAGTGTTAAAAGCATCAGTAACTAAAATGTGCTAATTATGTTAATTTATGCACTTAAGTTGCATTTCTTATAATTAAAATACATATATACAAGGTGCTCTTCGAAGGGTGATCGAATTAATCTTAATGAAACAATAAAAAAATTGATATCTGAATGTAAATGGAACGCTACCACTTCCAGTATGATTCGGTTTTTATCAAAGTTTCCGATCTGTCAGTTAAACTTCTAGTTACCAACAAAATCGCTAATCCTAGTCTGGTCAAATATACGAAATAGAAATTGCAAAACGATAAGGAATTATAAAGTTCAGTGAACTTTGGGTTAATACCATGAAGATCTGATAATAGATGGATAACAAAGGCAAATCTGTCCTAGAATGAGGAGTTCCACGCTTCACTGATAAACCCAAAAAATGTTGTTCCATTTTATCAACTAGCGGTCAAAGCATAATATTATATTTTTGAGCGAAAACCCTCGGGAGTAGAATATTTTTAATGTTGAACCTGCACATAATTTTGTATTCGTCTTTTTCATTCACATCACCAATCGCCACAGAGTCATTACCGTAAAATTAAATTAGTTCTTTAATAACAAATAACTGAACTGTTCTTCATCAACCGCATTGCCACTCAGCCCGCATAAAGATCGCCTATCGTCGATATTCCTACAAAAAGCATTTGTTCATCCTCACTTCCGTGTATTCATTTGCATAGTTCTTTTTGGTGGGCCTGCATAACGTCCAAATTTCCGTACCAGAGCCATCGGTAACTCTCACTAGCCCCATTGTAGGCACACACACTTTTCGTACACACATTATTTTCCACGCGAATTTTATGCGTAACTTTCATTTTTTAAACGACTTCGCTTTCCCTCGTATTGTAACCAGCCGAAAGTTTTTTATATTCAAAGATCATTATTTATGACCGCTGTTGTTTTTTTATCTTCTATTACGCATAGGTGGGTACGTTTTCAATGGGGCTTTGAAAGTTCTTACTGCGGGAAAATCCGGAGAAAAATAAATGAGGCTGTGTCGCACAAGCACAGCATACACTTAATCTTAAAACGATTTTTATTATATTAATTTATGTTTATTACTCATGTGTATATAGCACGATTTTCCTCGTTCCTCTATTAAATAGATTAATAGTAAAGTGTTGTTGATATTTGTTATAAACTTCGAATTTAAAAATATAAACATTAATGTCTAATACAAAACAAACTGTCCTACTTTTGCTATTTGTTCAACATTTATTTTTATATCATAGACTGACTGTACTTGATTAGATTTGACAAGGAAGTGAACATTTTTGCCAAATTAAAGTTTATGACAACAACATAAATAATATTCCC